TTTTTTGCCATTTTAAGTTTCGCAATTCATAGTTACATTCATCCTATAATTGACATGAAAATAAATTCCCCGTATTTCTTCCATGACACAAACACATTTTCATTAGTATTGAAATATTCAGGTAAACAAAGCTACGGCCGAGGACACGATCAATACAAAATATATAGTTTACAGTAACAGTGGAAAATTTTAGATGTTAGCGGTGAAATACAAAAAGAAATCCCCTACATTTGTCATGTCACGGTATTGAATAAGCACTTTTAGCATAATAAAGCAGACAGGTTTTCTGTGCACAGTGCATTTTTCATTTGATTTGGAAAATTTTAAAGCATGATGGCAGATAGCAAAATAAGATTCCCCTGTTTTCGTCAAGTAAAATTGAACGCATAAAACTGTAACCATATCATTAATATTTTCCCTATTCCTGGCAGAACTAACTATAAACTGTAATCAAAGGCATGAAAAGCCAGAATGGCTTACGGGTTTGATATTCAACTTCTAAAGCATGTGTAAAATGGTTAAGCCAAAAGTCATAAGACGTAAGTCACAAATCAAAAGTCAAAAGTCGAAACTCAAAAGTGACCCTCCAAGGCTTCCATATTCCATAGCTAAATGTTACGATACTTGTATGCAAATTCTACTTTAGTTTTTTCTACATGTTGTTAAAAAGTTTGCCGGTAGCCCCAAAACAGCGAAGGAAAAATCTTGGTTAAAATATAAGCTCATAAGCCAGGAATAAAATTTAAAGATCTGAACAAAAAAGAAGGAAAAACAGCAAAAAGTTGTGAATAATTATAAATAGCCAAGTCGTTTAAATATGTACCAGATAAAGAAAGGTAAATAATTAATAATCGAATCCGCTGCTTAAGTTTGCAATAAAAATGGATCCCTACATATCGATATTCCATTGAGTATATGAAAAAAAGCTTTGACATTCTCCCTTATATAAATTACAGAATAATTATTTGTTGTATCGTCCATGCAAAACTTCGATCAGTATGATTGAAAAGGCAACAACGGGTATAACGGGTAAAACTGGAACACGTTTAAAATATATCACCGGGTATAACGGGTAATACTGTAAGGTGTTTCATATACCGAGAATTCCATAAATTAAACACATGAACGACTTTGTTGCAATACATGGCCGAAAATTACATAAATAACACACACTTACATAGCTGACTGTTAAAAATGTTTGAAAAAAAAACAAATGACGGATATATAACGGTATTAAGTAGTTTTTCCATTTACACTGCCAAAATTGATCATTTGCCAGAGCGATTATAATAAGACAGGATTGTAGTCATTTTGTTCTTATTGGTGTTCTTTCACTTATAGTTTTACGTATTTTTAAACTAACATATTTTTTTCATAAAACTTGATAAATGGGTACAAGATTTGTGATATTTATGACATAGCACCAGTTAACATATGCCTTAATGTGTCAAAGCACCATTGAACGCACGTCTTTATCGATATTGTGCCATAGCATCAGTGTCAATAGTATTTAATTTATTATATAGATACAATAAAGAATTGTCGCTCAATGACGTCACGTTACTTCCCTAGTTTTGTTTGAATAAATTTGTATATATAATAAATGCTGCAGAAGAAGGCCGAAAGCTATAGAAAATTCAAAACAGCGTTTTTAATTTATGATATAATAATAAATAGGCAAATTTGAAACATATTTAAAAGGGAGGTAATGGTTCAAAGGGAGGCTACTGTTGCGCTAAAATAAGATTAATTAGAGTGGCCTCCCCTGATAACATTAAAAGTGGCTTTATGATTCAAAGGGAGGTAACTGCTGAACTCAAAATAGAGTCGGTTAGAGTGATGTTTCCTGATAACATTGCAAATGGCGTAAGAGTTCAAAAGGTAGGTTACTTTTATTCTCAAAACTGAGTGTGTTATAATTAGGATGACTTCCATTGATAACATTGCAAATGTTGAAAGGTTTCAAAGGGAGGGTACTTTTGCGCTCAAAATGAAGTCGGTAAGAGTGACTTCCCTGGATAATATTACAAATGGCGTAAGGGTTCAAAAGGGAGGTAACTTATGCTCTCAAAATCGAGTGAGTTAGATTGACTTCCCATGATTTTATTGTAAATGGTGAAATGGTTCAAAGGGAGGTTACTATTGCGCTAAAATTAAAGTGGGTAAGAGTGACTTCCCTGATTGGAAATTTTAGACCATGCGACCACATACATGCATCGAGGACATATTTTATGAAAAATGACCGTGCGACCACAAACACGCATCACAGGATTCCCCTTCTCTTATTAGAAAGGGACAAATAGTTGTCCGCCCTTTTATTAAAGAACAGACTTAAAAAATATGCCACTGCCTTATTGCTAATGATAAGGAGGCTAATTTTCACAGATATGTTTTGAATCGGTTTATATACAACAAAAGTTACGCAAACTAAGCGGGTTATCAGTTACGTCCGCAATGGACTTTAAAAGGATCATATTTAACTTCTTGGAAAATTTTGAGTTTAATTTTTTTTTTACTTTTCATTCTATGTATATTTCAGAATTATTTTAATTTTGCAAAACATGAACGTTTCAAAAACGTTTTATATGCATTAGATATTGGAGATATATTTGGAACTCTTTGTATTCAAATATTAACCTGGGGGCATTTTTGCCAAAGTTTTGTCCTATGACGATAGCTTGAGCCTTTGTTCGCATAAAGATTAATAACAATGGAAAAATAGGTAGGACAGACTGAAGCCTAATAAATAAAACACAAAGTAAAACGTCATATTTTCATGTGCATTGATAGCGCAGTAGTCAGAGCGTCCGTGTCAGTGTTGTTTCATGCATTAAGATGCATGAATTATGGTTAGGTACATGTATCATTACATCTGAGTGTATATTTTTCTTATTTGACCAGTTTTGTTTCAGATAGTTACAAATGCATGAGATTGAACATTTTTGTACACGGATTGATACTCTGTTGTGTTAAGTTTTTGAAAAACGCCAAACATCAGGAAATAGCATTATCAAAAATACAATGTAATGAAGTGTGTTATATATTGATCCATAAGTTCAATTAAGAAATAATATATCCCAAACTGTGATTTTATTGCTCAATAACATCACTGTTTTGAGTTCGGATGCGGGGAATTATATCACGAGGGCGTAGCCCGAGTGATATAATGATGCGCATCCGAACTCCAAACAGTGATGTTATTGAGCAATAAAATCACAGTTTGGGATATATTATTTCGATTCTAACACGACATCAACAAATAAATGCTGCCCGTACATGGTAATTAGCTAAATTGCGCCTGATTTGTGTCCGTACTTATTGTGAGCGCGTCACATTTTTAGTGGTTACGTCACGTGTATAATGATTACGTCACATGTCTAAATATAGAACGTCGAACAGTGATTTTATAGCATAATAACACACACTTTCGGTTCTTCTATGTTCAATAGGGAAAAATGCGGGTCGTGTTAGAATTTTGAATATTTCGCAATCGAAGTGAGTTTAAAATAGTTTGATTGTTAAAATGTAAGATAATGTTTTAAAAATATCCCTTGATATGTCGTTGGTTTCTTTAAGAATAGAGAAATAAAAATGAAACAAAACAGAAATAGAAATAGAAATTTAGAAGAACAAAATATATTCAAATAATCATACTAAAGACAGACAAAGTAATATGCTTTTCTCTTAAAGAAATATAGCGCAATTGAGTTTGAATGTCTTTAAAATTTGAGTAACGTCATCAGCCGTTCGCCTCTATTTAATGATATAATCGACATCCGCTCATCAGCAAGATTGATTAACGGTGAAAACTGTTCAACGAAACTTAATAACTTCTTAATGTACCATTCGTATGAACAGAAATATAGCATCTCTGATTTTTTGTACGTGTCGCTATTAAAGTTCATCCGGTATAACATGTTACCTAACTTCATACAGAAAGTCACCATATCGAAGAAACTGATGTTAGTCACCGAGAGACCTTGCCCATTTTTTTAGTTATGTCCAGGATAGGCATAAATACTCCAATCTGGCCTATCCCTATTACATAACAAGAGCGATCAGTGATCACATGTGTCGCCTCATGATGGCCAATTTTATGTTGGGACAAGTTTTGTGACAGACGGACAGACAGACTGACAGTGCACAACTAGACTTGGTACTGATCATTCCTGTAAAGTTTGGATAAAATTGCACAAGTAGTTTATGAGGAGTAGTCCGGGCAAGCTTTTGTGTATCTGGCAACACACAGAAAAAAAAAACTTTTTATCAAAGGGCCATAACTCGACCAAAAATCATTCAACCAAAAAACCCGTGCAATATGCGCAAGGACTTGAGCTACAGATCAATCCTGTAAAGTTTCATTGAAATTGCATTAGTGGTATAAGAGATGTAGTCCGGACAAACTTTAAAAATAAAAATTATTAAAGGGCCATAACTCTGACAAAAATCATTGAACCGAAAAATGCTGATAATATGCACAACTATACTTGGTACTGATCATTCCTGTAAAGTTTGGATGAAATTGCACAAGTAATTTATGAGGAGTAGTTCGGACAAGCCTTTGTGTATCTGCCAACGCACAGAAAAAAACACCTTTTTATCAAAGGGCCATAACTCGGCCAAAACTCATTCAACCGGAAAACCCGTGCAATATGCGCAAGGACTTGAGCTACAAATCAATCCTGTAAAGTTTCATTGAAATTGCATTAGTGGTATAAGAGCAGTAGTCCGGACAAACTTTAAAAATAAAAATTATTAAAGGGCCATAACTCTGACAAAAATCATTGAAAAGAAAAATGCTGACAATATGCACAACTAGACTTGGTACTGATCAGTCCTGTAAAGTTTGGATGAAATTTCACCAGGAGTTTATGAGGAGTAGTCCGGACAAGTTTTGTGACGGACGGACAGACAGACGACGGAGAAGTGATCCCTATATGTCGCCACTACTCCGTAGAGGCGACAAGTAGTTTATGAGGACAAGCTTTTGTGTATCTTTC